AGATGTATAATCCCAAGCAGTGTACCCACGCGCTTGGTGTGTGTTTCGAAGCCCTCCATTTGGAAATGAACTCCCGTCAGGCTCTCCTTTGGTCAATTGCTTTCCACTGAACTCAGACATTAAATGTGAGTCGTGTGAAGACCGACCATTTTTGATGTTTAAGAAACAATCAAATTTTTTGGCACTTTTCGATGTGAGGGGCTGGAACCAATGACAGAAACAAACGGCTCCATGCTCCTCCGCCCACTCTTTCATTCCAAAGGCAACTACATCAGCTTCGGTCTCGGAAAGTGTCCCACCATTCGTCAACAAATTTTTGATTGTGCGGAATGTAGAGGGGGGAAGTCGCTTTTCCATACACTCCTCGTTAAAAACATAAATCGCAAAATCATGCTGTACTTTTCCTTGGAACGGAGAAGTCGAGCCGGGACCACTTCGTAGATTTGACATTGTTTTGTCCATTATTGAGTTACTCTTTTATATATGTGTGTTTTAAAACAAATTTTATTTAAATGGCTATTTTAAACTATTGTTTTAAAAAATGTTTTTTGGAAAAAAAGTTAAGAATTATTGGGGAGAATATTTGTTAAAAAGATATAGCTTTTTAATTGGTTTGTTATAATTACTTTTTTCTTAAGTCTTTTGTGAGTTATTTTCAAAAAGAAAAAGACAGTTGTAAAAAATAGGAACAGTTTTTAATTAAAATAATTTATATAAATACTATTATTATTTGAACAATTTGCTCTAAAATTATAACAATAAATGTAAATTTGTTTTTTTTAATTGATTTAAATTTTTTTAAAATTTATTATTTTTTTTGTGTAAAAAAAACGGGCTTTAAATGAATTAAATAACTAAATGTAATATTTTGTTAAATATTTTTATTATTATATATATATAGGTATAAATTAATTTTAATTACAGTTAGTTTCAAATTAATTTAAAAATGTTCAACAAATAAATATGATTGTACCAAATAAAATAAAAATATTATCAAAATAAATTTAAAGTGTTTCACAAAAAAACAAAAATGTACCTTTTTTCAAATGTCTCATAATTAATTATTATTGTTTCAAATAAAATTCTTTTTGTACAAATTTAAACTAAAATTGTTTCAAAATTGACATTTTTTGTTTCAAATAAAATTAACAAAAACATGAAAATTATAACTTGAATAATTGGCAAACGTTATAACTTCTAAATATATTTAACAAAATAAATGAATACATAAACACATGTTTAAACTTTATAATAAATATGAGTGACTCTATCGAATATGTGCCTAAGTCTGAAATTGCATTGTTCAAACAACCTTTTATAGGACCTTTATGCAAACCTCCAAACACTCCCCCAAACGTTTCTCCGGTTACTGAAAGTACACTTTTAGAACAACAAATCAATTATCATCCTCAATTATCTTCTCGAATGGAAGAAGACACTAAAAAACACTGAAAAAGATGTTACAATACTCTCACGGATGAACAAATTTCATATCTTAGAGAGTTGTATGAAGAAAATGGATTGTCTCAATCCGTTGATTGGTATGTAAATAAAACCAAAATACCAACAGAAAGAGTGAAATTTTATATTAAAAAAATTGAAAGATGGAAGCGATATAACAAAGAAGAAGAAAGGAAGAAAACCAAAATATACAGACGACATGTTGAAAGAGGTAACTTCGCTTCTTTGTCAACAAAATATGTCTTTGAGGCAAGCCAAAAAGGCCTTGGCAGAAAAAAATTACGAGATTTCTGTATCTTCATTAGACAGGTACATAACCAATGAAAAATTGATGAAAAATGTCAAACTAGATCCTCTGTCATTTACAAAAGTGTCAATACGAGGAAAAGTTGCCAACACATTAGAAAATAAAGAACTACGTGTCAACAGATTGTTAGAGTTGAAAAGTTGTCAAAAAGCCGGATTTGCTGTAGTGTTTGTTGATGAATCTCATTGGAAATTGGGTAATGTAAGAACAAAACATTGGGGTTTAAAAGGGCAAAAACATTTTAGAATTTCTCCCCTGTCGACATTCAATATTAGTTGTATATGTTCGATTGCAGAAAGTGGAGACAAATTTTGCAGGGTGTTTAACCAAGTCGTTGATGGAGATATATTTTCTGCTGGATTTAAATTGCTTGTTGAACATTATATCTGTTTGCTTGAAAATGTCGTTTTTGTATTGGATAACGCTGCCGTACATCAAAAAGAAATCATCAAGCTTGCAGAAAATAGAGGCTGCAGAGTTCTTTTTAATGCTCCATATTCTCCAGAGTGCAATCCGATTGAAAACATATTTGGTATATGGAAAACTAGAGTTGGTAAACTCGAGAACAATGATTTAAAAGAACTGTTAAAAAATATTGGAGATTGTTTTGAAAGTATCGAAAAGTTTGATGTCAGAAAAGTTATTGGTAATTTTTTCAACGAAATAGCCGAAAAAGTGATGAAAAGAAACGATTTATAGCTAAATGTTTATTATTTTTGTTAATTTTATTTGAAACAAAAAATGTCAATTTTGAAACAATTTTAGTTTAAATTTGTACAAAAAGAATTTTATTTGAAACAATAATAATTAATTATGAGACATTTGAAAAAAGGTACATTTTTGTTTTTTTGTGAAACACTTTAAATTTATTTTGATAATATTTTTATTTTATTTGGTACAATCATATTTATTTGTTGAACATTTTTAAATTAATTTGAAACTAACTGTAAATAAAAATAAAAAGTAATAATTCTATTATGTATTTATTTTTAATTTAAAAAAAAACAAAGTCATTCTCTTAACATTTTCCCTCTGTTTTTAGATATTAATAACTGGAATATATCGGGAAATATTTCGAAACGATAGAAAAACATTGATTCGTTTTTTTACAGTTTTTACTTTTTTTTACCTAATTCTCAATTTTTTAAAGATTTTTTGTGTATTTTTTTTGCAAAAGGAACAACTTTAAAAGACTGACTATGGTTGTTGTTTCAAAAATGTTTAATATTTAAAAACAATAGAGTTAGTCGCCAACGTTGTCCTGGGCTTTTTGGTTAATGAAAATTGGAAAATATCGGGATTATGTTCGAAATATAAAATAATCGTCGTTTTAGTTTTTTTCCCAAATATTTCCCAATTTTTCATTTTTAACCTAATTCCCAGGGTTTTAAACAATTATTTGTGTATAAATCGATAAAAAGAACAACATTTTACAACAAACTCTATAATATAAAAAGTTAAGTTTAATTTTATATTTTTTTAATGCAATTTCAAATAGGTGATATTTGAATTGACAATATTGAATATAATTTATTATAAAAACACATTTTGCTATTTTATCACACTAGAACAACAGTTGTTCTTTTTTTGCTAAAACAACATTTTTAAAATGATACAACCCTTTAATATGCTTATTGAAAAAACATCAATTTAAATGCTTCTTTAAATTGTGTCATTAAAACAATTTAATGAAGAAACACAATACATGTGTACGCCATTATTATTTGTTCATATTGTATTTTTCACATAATTATACTTATTGTTTACAAACAAATATTAACTGCCAAATTATAATTATATTATTATGAATAATAATTAATTTTTGTTAAAAAAGAAAACATTATAATTATTTATTTTAATAAAGGTTACAATTGAAAAAAACATTGTCACATTTATACGAAGGTCTTTAATTTAAGCAACAAAATAATTTGTTTAGAAAACAGAATCAATTGTTCAATATTGTCAAACATGTATCTAGCAACACTGTATTAATTTTCAACAATTAAAAAAGCGTCATTTTTTTCAACTTTTTAAATTTTGAATAATTGTCGATCAAAAGGGTTTTCCAATTCTATTTGTTTATAATAAAACAAAGAAAAGCACCAAAAACAGACAAAAGAACTGTGTTGTAATAACATAAAAGGGGTGAACAGTAACAACAAAATAAAATACGAATATGATGTAATTACAATAATTACATCAAATATAAAAAATAATAAAGCATGGAATTCAATTAAAATACACATTCCAATATATTTGTCATTCAAAAAACACAATATTATATCACTCGTTTGATGTTTCAAATATTTTTGCGATTTCGACATCACCAGCTTCGACCGTTGTCTGCTTTTTATCAATAACAATAGAAGAAAAGTATTTACACACCCTTTTTCCCTTTTCGAGTAAATTGTTCTTTGTTAGAATGACTTTTCCTTTATAACACACTGATTCAATGTATTCGATTCGTTGTGTATTTTTCGATATTTTGCTCAGTCGAGTGTTGAAGACGTATCCAATTTCAGTACACAAATCAAGGAGGAAATTGTTAGTGAAGACAAACACGTTTCTGTTAAACAATCGGAGTGTTTTAATTCTCTCTGCTTCAGACGAGTAAGTCGCGTCCAATTCCGTTTTAAATCTGTCTTTGACAAACGAGTCAAATTCTAACACACTCGACTCACCCATTATGCTTATGATCTTTGGTATCTGTTCAGTGACTTTTGATTGTTTAGGCGGTCGCTCAATGAGGATGGAAAACATTTTAGAAACCAATCCAACTAAAATGGCTTGTTGCACCGCCTCAAGGTTTCGCTTCTCTCTGCTACACTTTGTCTTGAACGGAAGACTCTTCTCGCGGAACGGAACACCGTTGGTCCTTGTCGCCATTCAATAATAAGTTTGAACCCTCTGTTTTATGTTGTCTCAGGGTTTATCTTTTTTGAAACCGTATCTGTACCGGAAACGCTTTCATTAGCCAAAAACAGAACGAAAAGGGTTTGTTATTGACAATTTGTATTCGGCCTTTTTGCAACGAA